GTAAAGCTTTTATCTTGGCGAAAAAAAGAAAAAAAAAACGTTTCGGAGTTAAACAATCGAGACAACCGGTTTCGAGGGAGAGAAACCGTGGTCGGAAAATTTTTCAAACGCGTCCAAAGTGCTTTTCCATCGAGTCCCCGTCGATCGTCCGTCATGAAATCGCGGTCGCAGTTTGCCAATATCGACGGAGTAGGAAATACGAAGAGCAAGATCGCTCCGCATCCCTTTAATTAAAAACGCATGAAATTTTCCGCATTAAATCCGTCGACACCGATCTTGCCGGCGAATTTCAGGAAATATCAACCACAGGGAGAGGTGAAGCTGGAAGACTAAATTTAAACTTTCGTCGAGGAAGAATTCGTTAAGAGATAACTGCTTCTCTGTAACGCTAAGAGAATATCGCCCTCGCACTCGTACCTTTGATAACACGAGAAGAAATTGCATAAGTTGGTGGGATTCGACGGTTGGAGCAACTCTCCGCGGTGGAAGATGGAAGATAATGTAACACGATGGCCAAAGTAGGACGTTGCCACGATGAATGTAACAAAAGGACGCCAGTAATGAATCGCTGAATCGGCATCTCCCCGTCTTTCTCTCTCTCTCTCTCTCTCTCTCTCTCTCTCTCTCTCTGTCTCTCTGTCCCTCACGCACACGTTAATTGACACACGAGGATTGAATCCATTATTCGACTGAGAGGTAGGCTAGGTATCAATTAACGGACAAAAAGCACCGCCGGCCATTTTTGCGTCACCGCCTTCGTCGTGGCCGGGACGATCTGCTCGCATTACACGAGTTCGCAATCAAAGTCGGAAAATTACACAATTCAACGCGCCGAGTCGCCACATAGAAGCGATATTCTGCGACACTGAACAAATAACGCGTCCGCGCGCTCGTCCATGGCCGAGCTATCGGCCATTTGTCCGTTTATCGCACTCGTTACAAATATTTTCAACGAGCCACTCGACCACTCAAATTACAGCAGGTAAAAGAAAAACGCGCCCGAGGACAAAAGTCCGGCGCGCGCGCGCGCACGAAAAAGAAAAAAGGGCTCCTCCGTCACGCTTTCGCCGACCGACGTGTCGTTTGCATAACGCACGATCTTCCAGAATTCCCATTGTTAATTCTTGCCCCAGCCTCAAGTGTGTCAAGTCAAGAGTTATATAAAATGAAGATGTCCTCCCCTGGAGGCTTTAAGGTCAAATGTCACGTGTGCAAAGAGCAAACGCGGGAGGAGAGGAGCACGAGTGGTGCAAGGCCGGTATTCGTGCGTTATGTTTCCTACATCCTCAAGGTCTTCGTCGCGAATCGATGAGTTCGGATATTCCCTTCAGCGACGAATTCCAGCGATATTTTACAAATGCTGTAACGCGCAACCGGAGACTCGTGAGACTTCGCTCATCGATTAAACGAATGTAAAGTTTGGCACGGCGACCGCGGCACCTTCGTACCGCTGACAGCAGGTACCTTGACGCGCGCGCAGACTTTGAGTCGCATACATCATGAGGAAGAGAGAGAGAGAGAGAGAAAGAACCTGACAACAAACACGCCGCGCGGAAAAACATGATGTATGTCCACGTTATTTTCGCGGTTGGTGGTGCGTCGAGTAATCACTCGGTAGACGCACCGCGTACTTCACGGCTATCACGCGATCCACTTACGCCGCGCGTTATTCTTAGCGTGACAAATCGTGTAATACGATTCAACGGTAATCGACGATAAACAACGACACTTACGTTCACACTTACGTTGACGCAGCCGCGATCGTCTAAAGATAGATCGCACCCCGACCCGTTTGATCATCGTGGAAAACTCGAGGAATCGGTTTACCCCGCCTTACATTGTGCGCCCAAGAACAGGCAAACACGTTACGTCAAAGGAGAATTCACGAGTACTCGCGGGAACTCTGCAGCATTTATACACATACGCGCACAAACAGTAACTACGAAAGATAGTAACGACGGTCAGGTATTTGCGTAACTTTTCCCGTTCGAGCGATGGCCGCGCGCGCTATTATGAAAGCTTGCAACAGTTTAGGACGAACATGGCTTGTGTATTAATTCGGCGCTTATCGTCTAGCATAATGTCGAGTAACTCGGGCACCGAGGTTAAGTAAAGAAAGCCACGACTGCCGATAAAGATAAAGAATAGCTATTAGCATAGCTGTAGCGCCGTTCTATTTTCCACGACATTCCGCTGGCTCTATCGTCTTAGGCTGCTAAAAAAGCTAAAGAAAGCACCAAAACGGTTGTACCGCTATTTTGAAAAATGTTTCCGCTTACGCTTGAAACTCCTTCGAAACAGCTATCGCAAGTGCATACTTGAGAGAAGTGATACGAACAGAACAGCTTTATGAAGGCACACATTTGGCAGAATGAAACGTTTTAATCTCCGAGCTGGATTACCGTCGACGGATCTAGCCAGGAAGATTAATATCCCGATTAATGTGCGATTAAATTTCGCATACTTTCAACACTTTTACTAACAAGGACGATAAAGTTTGTGGCGATTACCGCTGCAGTTCGTTGTTCTCTGTGAAGAAGACATTTTTCATCCGAAAACGTCGTCCAAATGCATTGTCGAGAAGAAAAGGATATTCTCTCTTGCTGAGAACACTTGCTGCAAAAAAAAACACCCCGAAAAGAGACACACAGACTTTCTCACTCCGAAAGCACAATTTTTTCGATGAAGATCCCAACGTTCAAACGCAGCCCCGCGAAACGCGCATCTCCGGACTTTCTCGCCAAATTAACGCACCGATGCTCGTGTAATCTCGCGACGAAAGACGACAAGTGCAAAACTTTCCTCCCACGCGAACGTGACTCCGCTGCGTCCGCCGTTTTGTCAAGTACACTTTTAAGTCCTTTACGAGACTTGTTTACGTATACTGACGAGAAGCTCGCGAAATCAAACTAAGAAGCGGTCGCGATAAACTTCTTACTCACCCATTATTCTAATTACCTTCTTTTCCTGCGAGAGAAAAGAAAGAGAGAGAGAGAGAGAGAGAGAGAGAGAGAGAGAGAGAGACTTACGAAAAAAGAGAGAAACGACGAGATTTATATTTGTTCGATAACGACAATTATTACATAACATACGACGCGTCGAGCCAAACATAAATCGCGCGCGATGTTTCATTCGCGCTGCAGCGATCAATCCGCGCGAAGATTGGCCGGAGATAAATCTCCAGAACCCTCTCACTCGTCCTATTCTCTTCCCCTCCCCCCACCCTCCCTCTCTCTCTCTCTCTCTCTCTCTCTCTCTCTCTCTATCTATCTATCTCTATCTCAATTTAGCCGCACTCATGAACGATTGCCGCATTTCTCGCGCATTTTCCTAGCCAGCTGATCAACCGAGCAACCATCGAGCAAGCAACCAATCAACCAGCCAGTCAAGCAGTCAGTCAGCCGCAGCTGGACGCGGCCTGACAAGGATCCTCCGTCGTCCTTCGTCGTGGAGGGTGCACACGACGACAACGACGAGGCGCTCGCTCGGACGGACGGACACTATTTTTAGATCACCAGAGAGCTCTCCATTTGGCACGACACTTCCACGAGAGGCCGTGGGAAGTGGTAAGTACCGCAGGATGTACCGGAACGTGTGTGTACCGCCGCGCCACCCCGTATAAATCCCGCGAGTACAATCCCGTAGAAGCGGTCCATTATGGTGGAGCGAAACGGAGACTTGGGGATAACCGGGTGAGACCTAAGAGGCCACTTTCGTCCGTCCGCGAGCGAGCGCGACAGCGCAACGATTGGATAACGAGCCATGAGAGAAAAAGAGAGCGATGAAAAAAATACTCCCGCGGCGGTCTTATTTAGGCTCCGACGGACTTAGCGCGCGCGCGCAACGACGTTCTTTGAATCGAGCGTCGGTGTTTGCTCTGTGCCAATTGTTTTCTTTTTCTCTTTCACTATTTTGCAACTTGCACCCCTTTCGCGCGCAGTAAAAAAGGTATCGCGCTAAGCGAAGAAAAGCGACTAGACGGTTTACTTTTCTTCTTCTTCTGTGTAAATGATCATTATCTCTTCAATAAAGAATATTTTCTTGATACCGAGCTTAAGATATAATCCTCGTAAAAAGAGAAAAGTCTCTTGTTTCTTCCGTGTGCCCAGAAGCTAGAATTTATTCTGCAAGAGAATTGTAAAAATTACGTAGGGAAAAAGCGAACCGAATTTTGTTGGATTCATTTTCTTATGTCCTTGATCGAAGCCAAGCAAGTTCGCTATAGTTCAGAATGCATTTTTAAGTAAATTGGAGATTCACGATAAACTTACGATAGGTTTGCCGGCGTATAAACTCGCGAAATACTTGAGGCAAATGACATTTACCTGAGAGCGCTGTGTATTTTTCCGTGTGCGCGACGCGCACGCGCTTTAAACTCCGATCCGGCCGAAGCTCATCGCCGCGTCGCAGTTTTCGTTATATTTTGCTTCCGTTATATCCTGCACGTGTTCGTATTCGTAATTTTTATCGCCGACCGGTGACAGGGCGAGGAGCTGAAGAGACACGAGACACGAGATACGAGACACGTTATATACCGAAGGTATAAATGCCAGGAAAATCTCTGCACGCAAGGTTGAATCGCCGCTGTTAATTCAATGGTAGAATGGTTGCGTGCGTGTGTGTGTGTGTGTGTGTGTGTGAACATTGTTACTGGAGATTAATGTCTAAATACCCGGATATATACAGGAGAATTACTGTGTGCAAACTGTGTAGTTTTGGTCAGCGGCTTACCCCGCACGTAGCGCGCGCAACCGCGCGAGGTAAGATGCAACATTCAGCGTGGCGCACGTAATTCGCGTAATTTTGTCGGCGCCGATGCGCCGATAGCAATTCCGCGCAGCGTGTATCGACCGATTGAATTTGCGCAATACTGCAATTTCAAGAGAGGATTCGTCTCTCGTCGCTCGTCGCCTCTCCGACTTTGTCACGCGCAACTTTCGAACGGACCGAGATCGTCCATTCAGCCGTTAATGGCGGCGCTAAACGTAAACGAGACTTACCTTACGTTTGTCCCCGTCTTCTTGTTTCTTCAGCATCCGACGCGCGTCTCTCCTCCGAAGGCCTTTCGTCCTCCTCTCTTCTGGCCGAAGAAACTTGAGTGTAATCCTCGCGTGTACAAACCCGAGCGATGCTCACTTGCAGTCACGAATCTACTCGCCTCTCGTAAGAACGAAGGTTACACGTCTCTCGCCCTCTCTCCCTCTCTCTCTCTCTCTCTCTCTCTCTCTCTCTGTCTCTCTGTCTCTCTCTCTCTCTCTCTCTCTCTCTCTGTCTCTTCCCGAACGACTCGACGATCTGGAACAAAACAGTCGCAATCTTCGATTAGATTAGATTACTTCAGGCACTTCAAGAACGTTATTTATCTATAGCGTGCGGGACAGAGAGCCGAGGAAAAAATATACCTGCGTCCGTGTCGTGACATAAGTCGCGATAACGCGAATCTATCGGTATCTCGATGTCGGGTAGATTCTACCAGTTAAATCCCGCCAGTGAAACGCGCAACGTTCGAGCAAAGAGCGCGATGCGCTCGTAGGATTCCTCACTACTTACAAAATCGTAGACTGACCGAGACTTGCCGAATTTTCGCCGCGAGAAATGCACACGCGGCGTACACAACGCACCGTTCAACCGTTCACCGTTTACGTCTCTCGCTTCGAGATCTTCGATTACAAGACAGCTTTCATGGGGAGACCCCATTTACCTCCGACGACATATTTCCTAAGTTAAAGCGCAGCCTCTCCCGATCGCTATAGGCTACCGATACCGAATCGTCCTTACAAGATAATAGCATTTCCCGAACGTCAGGCGAGCAACTTCTCGAAGCCTACTCGGGCGAAATTGTCGAGTCCGGGAACGACACCGAGCGACATCGAGCGCACGCTCGGAGCACGACGCGGTCATTCTTTCACGTCGTCGTCGTCGTCGTCGTCGTCCTCGTCGCCGTCAGACGGCGGGCAAGTTTGATCGCGAATGCGCGACCGATTTCAAGCGGCGAAACAGGAATTGAACGGTCGCAGCGTGCCGACTTAATGCGACGCGCGAGAGGACTAATGCGCGGAGATTTGTGAACGTCGTCACGTAGTCTTCCGCATGCAGTCAAGTGCGCGGAGAAACAAGTTAATTAAGAGGACCACCCACCCGGGCGCATCTCTCCGCCTTCTCTCCCGATGTTCCGCGACGAGATGGGAGACGTGCCAAGTCGGCACGAGAAGAGTCGATTTTCCGCTTCCTTCGAGTGACACGGCGCGACGCGACGCGACGCGACGCGACGCGACGCGACGCCTCGCCTCGGATGATCAAACGGCGATCTCTCGCTCCGTACGAGAGACAGGAAAGAGAAATGGAATTTTCGCCGTTGTTTCTCCGCCGCCCCCGCGGCGAGGGACTAACGAGCTACGTTTCAACCAGATCACAGCTCGATTAATCAATCGAGAGGTACAAGAATGCCGCTCGCTGAAAAGCGCACCTAAAAGCTCGTCCTTCCTCGTCCAAGTCACAAGATGGCACTCGTTTCCGTTTATCGCGCAAGCGACGTTCATTGTTCTCGGAAACGGAAATGCGAAAACAGGAAATCAATTACATTTTCAATCCCAATGAATCCCAAGATTATCATTTCAGGCGTTCCAAAGTTCCGAATGTCGAAGTCACTGATTTTCAATATCTTTCACATTGCCCCGCTCTTCTCTCTTTCTCTCCCCTCCCTCTCCTTCTGTTGCTCTTCACTGTTTATGCACGCGAGCGCATAACACAGTGCAATTTCAAGCCTCGGCCGCCGCGCCGCGCCGCGCCGCGCCGGTCTCACGAGCAGCTAACTTTGTCAGGCTGTCCAATTATATAACCGATGACAGGAGAATTCCGGTATGACCAGCGCGAACGGTAGCTTCCCGGCGCGCTCTTTAGCGTCTCGGCGATAATAGACCGTTTAATGCCATATTTTACGAGCTCGTAAAATAACCGATTAAGATCGCGGAGCATCATCGATGCCACCACCGTCGTTATCTCCGTCGTCTTCCGGCCTACAGTCATGTCGTCGTAAAATTGGCAGCGAATTAAACGTCATTTCCCCCGGAGCTCGCCACCGTTTTATGACGTTGTTTATCCGACGCTCGTCCGTTGTTCGAGCGCGAGCGCGAGCGATCGCCGCCAGTTCCTAGGTAAATCCGCCGATCAGAATCTTTTTATGATGTTCACGTGACCGCCTTATCGCGACCTCGTTCATCTTGAAAATTGGATCTCAGATTAAATCTCCGGCGGAGAGCCGGAGAAGGAGAAGGTGAGAGAGAGAGAGAGAGAGAGAGAGGGAGGGAGAAAGTCCGGCTGGAAAATTAACTCGGCCTCTCGGTAAACACAATAACGCGCTCGACGCACGTTATTACGACGACGATGCACCCGTCTTCTCTTTCGCCCGCGCTTGCGTCATAGTCGTAATGACGCTCCCGCGCTAAGTAACAACGTTAATTCGTCGAACCAACAGCTCTCGCGGCGGAACAATGACTGCGAAACGGCTTCTCATTATGGCCGGTGGGCTAGATTAGCACGGCAGTTCATTAAGTTTGCGAGCTATGTGGGATCCGGGGCGATAAATATTTACGTACTGCCGAATGTGGGTTACGTTTGCATATCACGCCCGCGAAGGATATTAGCGACTCCCGCAAATGCTATGGATCGAGAGCGCGCAAGGATATCACGTAGCTGTAGTCTTGATAAGGGTCAACTTTCGTCTTACGCATTTAATTTGTCCGCTTTCATTATCTCGTCGACGGCCATCACAATTTTCTCTAATCCGTATCTACTGTGTACATGCATACATACATACATAATGAATATTTATTGTATATATATATATATATGTTTATATATATATATATATAGATATATGTATTATATATATATATATATATACGGTAGCAGTTTGTTTAAACTGCTTCTCCTCGCTGGTTATTTTCCCACAAACGAAATATCCGATACTTTCCTCTTGTGTTAATGAAAATTGCCCCCCCCCCCGCCTTCTCATTATTTCGTCCGCATAACTGTGTCTCGCCGCGCATAAAGCAGACGACGTACACAGAAAAAATTGCGAAAAAATTATTTTCACCGTTTCGCAGAGCGACGTGTCTCTCTGCGTGCGGTAAATGAATAAATAAATTCTCGGGGCAGCACGGTGAAATATTAAACGCGCCAGCCTCACCTTTCGACCTTCTGTTTCCGTTATCGAGATCAAGCACACAGCGCAGACCGATCGCGAGAATCTACGAGCGCCTGAAACGAATATCGACAAACACTTGGAAGGAATCTGACTGAAACAGCTGAATAAATCAGCTGTTGAAAAATCACGAGAAATTCGGAACTCGAGATACTTCGGACTTACGCATGTGATGGATGGCGACGTAATTGTTAATCATTTCCTACTTATCGCGCGAGCGATATCTCTTGAGAGTCGCAGTCGGTAGAATGAACGCAATCTGAATGCAATCGGCTCGATCGATCGGACGAATGCGCGGATGCGAGGAAAACTCGAAGTAAAGAAAGATATGTACGCGTGTGTGTAAATGTGCATACACATATATACGTATATATACGTGTATACACGAGCGGTAACAAATCATCTCGACGACGGAAGCTCGTCCCGAATATATGCAGACACTCGTTCAAATGTTTATTATTCAGACTCAATACCGATCGCGATGAGCGTGCCCGACAAGTTTTCGAGAGAGCCAGCCCCTATTATTGGTATTTCCAGGAGCATGCTTATGAGCTTTTGTACGGCACGTATCACCGGAATTCGCCAAGATAAAGGCCACTCACGCGGTTGACTGCGAGAATCTCCGGAATCTCGTCTCTGTATTTCCTACGCTATAACGCATACGGTATTCTCAGCCCCTCCTTCCCTCACTCTCACTCTTTCTCACTCACTTTCTCACTCCTGTCAAAAAAAAAAACAGGCCTCATCTTCAGAACATCACGATTCTTCTTCGCGATATCGACCGGCAGAATGAACGGCGGTGCGTGCAAATTATCTGCAAATAACTTCCATCTTCCCTACTCCCTCTCTTTGGTTTTATTTATCACAGATAAAGGGGAGCAGGACGCGGAAGGTCCGATTTTAAAAAATCAACAGAAAAAAAGGTCGACCAGGAAGTGGAAACCAGGCGGAGAAACTTGAGTGAGAAAAATGGCACTCTACATGCTCGACTTTACCCTCCGGAGATCCGGAATGAAAAATTGACGCACAACATTCACGGCTCAGCTCCGCTCGGCGCAATTACTTTACACGCATTGACCTCCTCTCTGTTTTTCACTTCTTCTCGCGTAAAATACTTGGCGCCGACTCCTAATCTGCACATACACATACACATCCGTCATTGTTGACAGTGAATTCTCAACTAATACGCAGCTTATCGATTCTGTCGCCCGCGAGTCGAGAAAAAAGAAAAGGGTTAAAAAATCAATTCTTGCCGTCTTCGAAAGTTATTTATGACTCACTATATTATCGCTTATTGCGATATGTCATATATCCGGTCTCGGAAAATCGCGTCTGGTGCAGACACCCGGTGAGAAAAAACGCCAGCCTTTCCTTATCACGGCGATAGAGAGACAAGAGGCGTAAAAAAGAGCGATATGAGAAAGTCTAGCCGCTGAGAAAGAGAGAGAGAGAGAGAGAGAGAGAGAGAGAGAGAGACCAGGCTGCGACGAGCGACTTTTTCTCATCACCGCCGTCGCATTTGGCAAATGAATGACTTACCTCGCGTACGATCGCTTATTCATGCTGCCGCTCATAAATGAATCATCACGTATTCGCTCGTGCTCCGGGCGGCCGGGTCTCGCTTCAATGACAATTACACTTGCTTTCCGCTCGCCTTGACGACCGACTGGCCAAGGACGCCTCAGGCGTCTCTCGTGTCATCCGCGAACTTCATCCCCGTCTCCTTTTCTCGATCTGCCACTCTGCGTCTTACATTACGCATCTCTCTCTCTCTCTCCCTCTCTCTCTCTCTCTCTCTCTCTCTCTCTCTCTCTCTCGCTTTCTCTCTCGCTCTCTCTGTCCCTTTCAAACTCTCAGAGTTCATTGGACGAGCGCTTCTGATAGGAGGAACATTCCAATCTCCCTCCGATTATTGTTGCCACATCGGCATGAATACTTTCGGAAACTTGGGACGCGCGCCGTCTTGCAGCAAGAGAGACTCGGACTTCGTTCCCGACCGATCGATCACGAAATGGAGATGAGGATTTTTGTAATTACACCGTTCTTTATGTCGCAAACTTTGTGTATATATTTCTCCTCCGTAATATTTATT